TCTTAAAGTGAAAAGTTGTTCCTGATTTGCCAGATCAGCCCATGTTTTGACAATCTGTAATAAGGTAATCAAAGGGTCTCAAGACTACCATGCAAGTGTTGACGCTGTGTGAATGTGTCATGGCACACATTCTCCAAGTCATAAGAATAATTGAAAAAAACATCTACAAGGCTGATAATTCTGATCAAAGTCCTTAATGTTTTATATATTTTTTGAATCAAAAAAATCAATATAAATCATGCCAGAGCTATTTCTTTATTCATGTAAGTTACATGGCTAGCATTTATCTTTACAACTCTCTAAATAACGACCTTAGTTGATATTGCATTGTACAAACCTTCATTTGATCAATGACATGAAACAAAAAGTAAGTTTCCATATCATTTATGAAATTCATTAACTGTGGCCTAGACTCTTAAAGTTGAATATTATGAGCCTACGTGTTAGGTAAGCCTATTTTCACTGTCAAGGTATTGGGAGGATTTGCCTAAGAACCTTCTGCCCTGATCCCTCTCCTCTATCATCACTCAATCCTTCTTGTGAAAGTGTAGACAGGCAACAGTGTGTAAACAGACAACAGGGTCACGTTACAGAGACATTGGGTCCAGCACATGAGGACACGGAGTAAGGAAGGCGTGGAACACACACAAGAAGCGTTAGGGTTCACAGTATCCTGCAGAGAAATTGTCTATAGAAACTTGACAGAAGTCCAGAAAATCAAACTAAATATCTTCAATACTGAGTAGCAGTCAGACCAAAGAAGGATGCTCCTGAAAATTTACCAATGATTCCAAGTGAGTGAATGCATTGTTCTTGAAAGATCCAAGATGATTTAAAATCACCAAGAATAAGAGAAGTAGGGACTTCTAGGAAAACATGAGAATGTGGATCCATATGTTTACTTTCATTTCTTCCAAAAACCTCAAGGAAAAAAATGGTAAAGAAAATTTTTTCCCAAGCATTAACTCAAACAGAAATAAAGAGGAGGATGTCGCACTGGAAGCTGCAGAGAAAACGTGTGACGGGGAGGCGATTCGACAGACCCGAGGCAGCAAGTAGAGCAGCAGAGAAGTGCCTCAGGCATCCCACGGGAGCCCGACAGTGGGCAGAACCAGCAACCCCACTTTGGAAGGGAAAGCAAAGGGGAAGATCAAAACCAGAAGACAGGTGGGAAGTCAGCTTCAGCAGCGGTCAGAGCCCATCCCTGCTCTACACAGACAGGCACCTGCCTGCCGCACCCTAGCAGAATATGCAAGAGGTAAAATACAAGGTGCCTGGGCTGGGGAATATTGACACAGCTGAGGGCAGGGGTGAGTGATGACAAGAGAGGAATTAAAAGAATATTTATATTGACAAACTAAACGTTGAGATTTTTTTCAGCCCTTTTCTGCAACTCAGCTTCTAAACCACTGGTAGTGGTGTCTCCACTCCAGGCCAGACACTGGAAGATCCTTCTGTGGGGGACTTGAGGAAAGACCAAAAAAATACTGAAGTATGAGTTCCCCAAAGAAATGACCCAGCCATGTCAGCCTACAGCTGACAAACCTCACCTGCATACTCAGAGTGTCCATTCAGTCTTCTAGCATCCACACAGAAGAAGCAGTCAACCAGGCATCATCAGACATCTAAGGAAAGCCTTAATAAAAAAACAGGCAAAAGCAATGGGGTGAAGGGGTCAAGGTAAGAGGATACTATTCAGGAAGAAGAAACTGAAATGATCCATTGACGATACGTTCATGAAATAAAACCAGGATCTTCTCTTGAAACATAAAATAAAAGGAACATTTACAGAGTAAATAAAAACACTTGGAAATTAATATAGAAGCCATAAAAAACTTATGGAAAGCTGGGATAGAAATAGAATAAATTTGCTAGAAAGCATTATAAAAATAGAGTGATGGAAAATAAGAAAGAAAGTAAATGTAAAGGACCAGTAAAAGAATTCTATCTCCAAATAATGGAGCTTTTAGAAAGAAGTGAGGAAATGGAAGAAATCATCAATGGAATAATCCAAAAGAACTGTCCAGGACTGATGGACAACAGTTTCAAGGAATAAAGGGACTCACCAATTATCCAGCATAATGGATAAAAATAGACCCATTCAAAGGCACTTCAAAGAAATTTCAGAACACTGGGAACCAAGCAAAGACCTCACAAGCCTCCAGAGAGAAATGAAAGGTCACCTACAAAAGATAAGGAGTCATAATGATTTTAGAAGTCTCAATAGCAATGTGGAAACAATAACTCAATGATACAAAATATTTAAAGAAAAGTTATTTCTAACCTGGAATTCTATAGCAAGCTAAACTAACAATTCAGTGTGAAGGTAGAATAATGGCACTTTCTGACATGCAAAGGGTCAACAATGTCCTCCATTTTTTTCAGAAAGATAGAAAGGATGTTTTCCACCCAAACAACACCATAAACCAAGAAAGCAAAAAAACAGAAAGAGAAGACATGGGATTCAGGCTGAGAACCAGGGCATCCAACATGGAGAAGGATGAAAGTCTCAGATGATGGCCAAAGGAGATCCCACGAAGAGAGTTATCCTCAACACACTGAGGGCAGCTGGCCCTAACTAGAACAGGTCAGAGAATTCCGGAAGATACTTCTTTAAGATTATGGAATTGATAGAATCCTCAATGAATGCATCAAGTGTTCTATCAGAATGCATGGAAAGATGTAACTATTGACAGAGAATTCGGAGCTAAACTAGTGCTAACTATATAAAACGCTAAGCAAACAAATTATCCAAAAGATAATGACCAACTCTAGCAAGAAGAAAGTTATGCAGAAAAGGTAAAATAATAATGATGTTCTAAATGATTCATTGTGAACAAAGTTTACATAGTTATAATAATGTAACCACTAACTATTGACCCAAATTTTGATATAAACATATCGAGAGGATAGAAGATTGGAAGTGTGTGTGTGTGTGTGTGTGTGTGTGTGTGTTAGAGATGAGAGGTGGGGTAAGGGGAAGCTAAATTTTCATCCTCTGCAGTGAGAAGTCAATAGATAATGCCTAAAACAGAAATACCATGATGTACCAGTGTAAGTGTGATATTTTGATATCTAGAGTTAAATCCTAAATAATAAGGTAAAAAAGTGGAAAGTACGTGGCTGGCTCTGAGGAGAAGGAAATTGAAGTGTGTGTATGGTGGAAGGTAAAAGGGGTTAGACAGGTACTTAGAATTTTTTTTAATAAACCCTGTACAGTATGTGATTTTTAGCTACATGCCTCTATCATTTGGTTAAAAACAAAAATAAAGAAAGGGAGGGAAGGAAGGAAGAAAAAAAAGAGAGAGAGAATAAGGAAAGGAAAGATTTTAGAAACCTAGCTGGGTGCAGTGGCTCAAGCCTGTAATCCCAGCACTTGAGAGGCTGAAGCAGGAGGATCATTTGAGCCCAAGAATTCAAGACCTACCTGGGCAACATGACAAGACCCTGTCTCTACAAAAAAAATACAAAAATGAGCCAGGTGTGGTAGCATGCACCTGTGGTCACAGCTACTCGGGAGGCTAAGGTGGGAGGATTGCTTGAACCAGAGAGGCAGAGGTTGCAGTGAGCCAAGATCATGCCACTGCACTCCGGCCTGAGCAACACTGCGAGACACTGTCTCAAAAGAAAAAAAAATGTAGAGACCTAATACTGATAAAAATGAGATGTAGCCTAATAAATCAACTGTGAGTTTTTACAGAAGATGAAAACCAGCTGGGCATGGTGGCTCACACCTGTAACTCCAGCTACTGGGGAGGTTGAGGCAGGAGAATCACTTGAACCCAAGAGGTGAGGGTTGCAGCGAGCCAAGACCACGCAATGCACTCCAGCCTGGGTGACATAGCAAGACTCTGTCCCAAAACAAACAAATAAACAAAAACAACAACAAATGAAAACCAATATCCAAAATATTGGGGGGAAACCTATAAGCTTTAAATAAATATGGATTAGATCTACATCTTACCTGAGCTCCGAACTGTATAACTGTCAAATGACAGCATGTAAAAAAAATGTATTCATGCTCTTTTCCCCCATATCCCCTTTCTTCTGTCATTTTAAATTATGACATTGTCACACCACTGCTCTGTCGCTCACCTGTAAGATCCCATGGAATCTGTCCATTCTCTATTCTGTTAGGCCACTATCATCCTTCCAAACCGGTCAGCCTGCTTCCTGTCCATTCTCTATCATGCAGACATAGTGATCTTTCTAAAACTGAAAGCCTATCATAGAATTTTCTTGCTTAAAATACTGGTTACCACTGCTTTTAGCACAAGATTTGAACCTTTCAACCTTACATATAAAACTTCATAATATAGCCAAGTGCAGTGATTTATGCCTGTAATCCCAGCACTTTGGGAGGCTGAGGCTGGCAGAGTGCTTGAGGTCAGGAGCTTTAGACCAGCCTGACCAACATGGTGAAACCCCATTTCTAATACAAAAAAAAAAAATTAAGCAGTTACAGTAGTGCACACCTGTACTCCCAGTTACTTGAGAGATTAAGGCATGAGAATCACTTGAGCCTGGGAGGTGGATGTTGCAGTTAGCTGAGATTGCACCACTGCACTCCTGCCTGGGTGACAGAGCAAGACTCCATCTCAAGCAATTTTAAAAATTTTAAAAATTAAAACTTTATAATAATGGCCTCTGATTACCCCTTGAGCCTCATTTCATAACATTCCCAGGGACACCTTTCCCATCGCACCGCACCTTTAAGTTCCATGCAGCCATACTGAAATCCTTTGCAGGTGCTCAAGTTCAAGCTGCCCTCACCTCTGGGCCTCTGCATCACTGTTCCCTTTATTCTAAAAGTCCTCAAACTAAAATGATACGCAAAATTATGTGTGAGTGTATGTCTCTATGTATATATACACAATGAGCATACATAAAAACTTGCAAAAATAGTTACAGTTATTTATAAATTCCCTGAATACTAACTTTGAATCTTAAGAACCTTAAGATTCTTAAGAAACCTTAAGAACCTCTTCCTGAAGCTATAAGCAAACTTACAGCTGATATTAAAAAGTTCTGAAATATATTATTCAGCATTTTTGCATACAAAGTATACATAAATTACACATATTGGTATCAACTCTTTTATGTCACTGGGATGCTATTCATTGCCCTTTGTCCAGAGAAAGTTAGCTGATTATTATCTTAAAGCTGGCTTCCCTGGGAAAGTCTTATTTTAGGAAAAAACATCCTTTCACTGTTCTGAGAACAGCGGGATCCTAGAATGTGAATATTTCTGCCTCATAATAATGCCTGGGCATGCTGTTACAAAAAAAAAAAAAAGAAAAAAACTTTTTTAAAAATTTGGATGATATTAGATGAACAGCTGTGTAGAAAAGGGAATGTAAAAATAAAAACTGCATGTTGGAGCATCAAAATAGTAACCATGTACAGTATAGGACTGTTTCTAATCAGATGAAGATTGAAGCTATTACATTTCAAATCAAATGTTATAAATTAGTTCAAGAATGCAGCTGAGCTCTCATTTAATTAGAAATGTCCATGTTTAAATCATGAGGTACAGTAGCTGCCAATGAAGCAAAGGGCAAGGGAAGGGAGAAATCCTGTGTCCAGACTCACTGATTCTCAACTGTCTCCTATGCAGGACGAACATCTGGGGTGGACCGGTCCTGATGTAATGAAGAACTTCATGTACTAGCTAATTTGAGATTTAATGTAATTGTCCATAATTGTTTTGAAGACAATTAGAATCATTATTCTGGTCTGGACAATTCTAAACTCTTCATTTTTGCGTGGAACATATTTTCCCCCTTGCTGAATTTTAACTCTTTCTTGGATAACGTCAAGCGAATCTAGGGCCAAGATTCCCTTGGAAATAGCCTTTCAACTGTCAGATCACATAAAAATGCAGCATAAGTAGTGAGGTAGTCCTCTAGAAGCAAGTCTCATTTCCTATCTGGTGCTTGATGTAGCTCAGCTAAAGTCCAAATCTACATCCCAAATGTTAGACAATTCACCATTAATTAAAAATGAGGCAACATCATAGAAGGATTTCTGAGGTCATACAGAAAAGAATGCAATTATCCTAAGGCATATTTTTCCCCGAAGATTATAAGCCTCTGTATCTTGTAATTAACCATGGTACAGTTAGACAGTCCAGGCAAAAGGTCTTTTCCCCAAATTTGCCTAATTCAACAACACCTCAAGTGATATAGCTCAAATTTTCCAAACGAACCTTACCCCTGGGGCTGAAATCATGCAAGTGACAGTTCAGCTCTAAAGAAAATCTTAGAGAGGGTTGTACACAGGGAAAAAAGAAAAAAAAAAAAAAAGTCAGAGGAAAAAGGGGTAAAAGTTAACATATAAGTGGTTTTTCAACCTCATCATTACCCTTGCTCAAGAAAATACGACACAGATAGGCAAAACATACCGTTGTTCTGCCCTGAAGAGTCTAAAGGACTTACTAGAAACTACTATTGTTTCCTCATGATCTATTGTGAATTTGTAGGGGATAAAATTATTGATTTTTCTTTTTTGCCATATCCCACAGCATTTAGTATTCCATAATGTCATGGGGTAGGAAGTGGAGGAGTCACAAACACAGAATGGGCCACAGCGACCCAAGAATGCTTATTGTTGATATAGTTTTCACAATCAGTTTTTCCCAGGGGGTTGAGGAGTGATTAGATTTTCACAAGCTATTTCGGTTTGTAACAGTGGTTTCCAGTAAGCAAGAACATATAAGCCCAAACTTTCTCTTACATCTGGCCACCACTCCACACTCTTCCACTGTGACACCAGAGAGAAGGTAAACTGGAATCAGGTCCACTGCTCCCAGGCAAGGATGGATTCCTTCTTAAAATTCCCTAACAATAGCCTGGAAGGCCTCTAGGCAGGCAGCCAGAACAGAACTGCCTAAAAATGCAAAATTGTGAAAAACAATCATTAAGCTTTCAACTGCATCTAAAGAAAAAGCTATGATTTTGGTGCTCCACTAGATGCTTTTCTTTTGTAAACTGTATAGATTTATTTTTTGTCCAAAATAATGAAAAACATAAAATCCAATCTTTCCCCTCACCCCACCTCCCAACACTCATAAAACTTCATATTTCTTCCAGCTTTTTCCTCCTCAAAGAGGGAGAATTATATAAGATTTGTTGGTCTTATACTATTTGATTATTTTTTTTACAACTGGTTAAATTTTTTCAATTTTCTCCAATTAATTGAATCAAATTCCTTATTTTCAGAATGCCTTATGAATAATTATATTAAAATAGATACACAGACATAATTGTTTTATGTTTCCTTTTTAGAGACTGGGTCTTGCTATCAAGGAATCCTCCCACCTTGGCCTCCCAAAGCACGGAGACTATAGGTGTGAGCCACTGTGCCTGGCCACATAATTTTTTTTCCACATAAATATTTTAAAGCATAAATACTTATTTTAGTTTCGGTTTTATCCACTAATTATATTTTCATTGAATTATTATAGTTAAATGTATATTATAGATACCTAAGAGTTTTAGATATTACTCTGAGTTTTCATTAGTAATATGATATGACCATTTTAGCAATAGAGGAAAAAGTAGATTTTTAACCTTGTATTAAGATTAACATTCAAGATAATCTGTCCAGGCTGGGTGCGGTGGCTCTCTCCTATAATCCCAGTACTTTGGGAGGCCGAGGCAGGCAAATCACTTGAGGTCAAGAGTTCTGGACCAGCCTAGCCAACATGGCAAATCCCCATCTCTACTGAAAAAAAATTCAAAAAAATTAGCCAGATAATCTGTCCTCTGCTTGCTGTAAGTTATCAGTAAGCTCTTCCCTCTCTTATGCAAGTAAACATACTTTTTGAACAAGGACAATCTGCCAAGTGGAAAACAAGTTTATTTGAAATTATTTGAAACCTTTACTAAGAAATGTTAAGATAATATAGGTTTTCACTTAAACAATTGTGCTTCTTCAAATTTAAGTTGTCCTACTAACCCTTACTATGTCCCTATGAGACGTGGAGTCCATTTCATGTCCATTTACGACCCCACCCCAGATCTCAAACTCCCAGCCCAGAATGCACTGCTTAGCAAGTTTCATTCCATGCCAGCTTCGCAGTGAAATGAAAGCTGACTTCAACACTATTACTTCCAGGCTAAAACCTAAAGATGTCTTTTCTTAAGATCACAAAGCATATGTGATCATCTTCAGCAAAAAAAAAAAAAAAAAAGTTATTAAATCTTGGACCCCAAGGTTTATTGTAACAAAGAGGAAATGGAGAATGTTTGAGATGTACATGTTCAGAAAATGATTAAATGTAGTTTTGTGGTAGACTCTTTATTAATGGAGGGGAGTATTCAGATTTACACAGGAAATCAATGATTACAGATAATGTTCAGGTCTATCCGAAGCCTACCCTTCACCAAAAAAAGACATATATGTAAAGAAAGAAACTGAAATCTTACCCAACTGATCGACAGAAGCTGCTATTGTAATGACTGATCTATTGTAGTCTTGATCAGAAAATATATTGAGCACTGACACTTAAAGGATGTTTCTTCCCTGTAAAGGAAACAAGACAGAAGTGTAAGAATGTTTTTTCTGTGATAAAATCTTAATACTTTATTTCTTCTGATATAATTAAATTTAGCTTAGTGGAAAAATTCTGGGATGTGACTTTTGGAAGTGACATTGAATAAACACGAAATTCATGAGTAGCAATGTCCACTTCTCTTACAGCGTCTTATTGTATAACCAGATGGCTCAGCTAAGACACAAGCTTTTGATGTCTACAAGAGATTCTCTCTTGGACTTACTACTGAATTTGCCAGAATTCCCTTAACTCAGTCTAAGACAGTAGCTCCTTTCTTCAATGGCCAAATCATATTACTGTAAATCCTGTTCCTTATCAATCTCATCACCTAGGCCTTGTCAATATTTCCTTCCAAAATCCAGAAACTAAACTGTTTGGGTCAAGATCTGACATCTGGTAAAACCAAAATACACCAATTAGTGCCCAGAGCAGAGGTTTTTGAGACAATGCACCTGTCCATTAGAAACTGTTCCGAGTCCACCATCTCCTTTTCGGAGGCCACCAACAGCCTTCAGATGTTAACAACTTCCAGCTTTTGGTGGTTTGTGACTCTCTTGAATATGCGTAACCTGGAGGAGAAAGCTGCCATTCCCTTGTATGGCAGCCATACATAACCCCAGAGTTATTTTTGAAGTTTACAAGCATGGTCCAGGCTCCTTAAAAGTCCCCCTTATGCCTACAAAAGCAAATTCAAAGTGAAGGACAAAAGTTTTCAGGCGGTAATTAAACATTTAGTTATGCTATTATACCTTGTTTTCCTGTCCCCTGGCAGCTCAACAATTAATCTTTTCAGAGGAAAGGAAAAACAAGTTACACCCAGGAACTACAGAGCTTAGAAAGGCCCTGCACTATTAATTTTAATAATGTGAGAAGATAAACATATGTCACTCACTCATGGCCAAACAAGCATCTATAGAGTCCTGCCCTGGTGTAGGTCTAAAATTTATAACTCAGATTCCTTTACCTAAGACCTTTCTAGGCCATTTAAATGTGCTCACATTCCTTAATTAGAAAAAACTACACAGTTTATATAGCTTTATTCCACTCACTTAAAAATAAATGCTTTTAAAATATTTATTAAAAAAAAAAACAGGTTCATTTTCTTAACTAGTGCTACCTTCTTTGCATTTTGAAAACCATAAAAGATGAAGTAAGAACAAGATCACGCAACCTCCTATTTTATGTAGTTTTTTAACATACTCTAACACCTGGAAGAAAAGAGATATGATTTAATTTTTTTCATCCTAAATATTCTCCCGAAAAGCTTTTATTCTCAGTTTCATATGACTCAATTGAATCAAATGCTGAAAGAATAAAACACTCTCTCCTGCAATTTCTTAAGCATGTATATAGAAAAAAAAATTACTGCTGGCAAGAGGAGCTGTCAGTGTGAATCTCAGCAGAAGTAAATTGTTTGGTATTTGTAATGGAGTATAATAGCTATAATTCCATTTGAGCTGCTGCCACTAATAAGCTGATAAAAACCGTGAGTTGAGACCCAGGCATCCATCAGTGTGTATCTTCCACAAATGTCTCTGCACATTCACTTAATCACAGAGACAGGCAACCCAATCCCATTAGATGACAATGAAGAGTCCAAGCTGGTTCTTTCCACAAAAAGCATGCAAAATCACAGCTGCATACCAACTCCAAACGAGTTTTCTTATCAGCAATTATCAGGAATTTTCATAGACATTTCTAGTTCCAGCAAAGTTGCAAGACAGTAACTTAAATGTGCTCATAGTTGAGATGGATTGGGGGAAAACACGTCTTTCTTATGAAAAGCAGTAACCACATTAGAAATGACAACCGGAAATTAAAATTTAATGTCTGAAATGCTTTAGGGCGGGTTTCACCTGTTGCCAAAAAGTTACTGATATAATAACAAGCATTCTATTTAAATGACTGTATACACTGTTGTGTGTGTTGGTGTGTGTGTGAAAGTAAAGACAAATAATATCTAACCATGTGTCATCACAGGAATATTTTAAGAAGGATGAAAAAGAGTAGTATCTTTCATAGTAATACTGGCCAAGGGAATAAGGAGTTCCAGTCTTCTGTCATCAAATTGCTGAGTGATCTATGCGCATCATTTAAATGCACTTGCCTAACAGTCTTTACACAGAGGAAAGAGAGTATAAAGAATAATACTATAATGATTGCATGGGCTTTGGTGGCAGGAATGCTTTGAAAAGTAGTTGGTATTTGGCAAGTTTATTTTTCATTTAACCTGCTCAATAAAAAGCATAAGGTATGATTATGCTCTTTCTATTAATGATCAAATAAACAACCCATGAGGGAAACATTATGCTTTTATGTAAATACATCCTCCCCAGGAGCCTGTCAATAGCCTGAACAACGCGTATCTCAGAGACTCATACAAATGTGAAGAATTGCGCTGCTGAACGTATGCAGACATTTGAAAAAGAGCATATGTGCACATCTGAGTAGCTGAGCTATCTCGTATCCTGGAGTTGTGCAGAGCTGTAACAGCTCAAGAACAAGGAGGAAAATTCAGGAAGAAAGAAAGAAAAGTGTTCTGTAGATAAGGTGTGCACAGTAAAACACTACAACATTCAGCTTCAGTTGTCTGGTTTTCCTACCATTTTTGTCAAGAAGAGCTACTTTTGCTGTGTTCTCAACAATGTATTTTCTTCTGGCTTCTGAAATGTTTAGTAAACAGGCAGGCAAATGAAGCCCCACTCTGGAGGAAGACATGATTTTTCTGGAATAGGAGAAAAATAATTAGGTGTCTCTAGAGTTGATTTAGTTTCATGTTTTAACTATAAAAAATCATAACTTTTTAGAAACTATGCAGTCATAATATAAGCACTTTACTATTTCATTCCTAGAAAAATTCTAAAGCATAAAATCCCAGATTGACTCAAATAAGAAACCATGTGTACATGGTCATGTGCATATGAACATATGAACATTGTAACGACATTGGAAAATACCTGGCAGGGTCCTCAGCCTGAATTCCATCATGTAAGTGAAAGTTTTTCATTAAAGTATGTTATCTCATTTCAAGCATGGTCTTCCTTAGCCTTATCCCTGTTTTCAAGGTCTGTACTATTTTAAAAATAGGTATGATTTTTTCTGTTGTTAAACTAGACTCACTGGGAAAATGCAGAAAAAGGAAACGAGGAAGATTCTTTAATATGTGGATTCTTATAAAAGCACTTTTTGTGGCAAAAAAAAAAAAAAAAAAAAAAAGTATCTACAGGCCAGCCATGGACATTATACAAACAAATAAGGAAGCCATTTGGGTGCTTTACATGACAATTATTCCTCCTTGTTTCAACAAAGTTTCTAAATCAGTTTAAAGTCTTTTTACAGAATTCTGTAACTTGAATTGAAAGATGACACATATTGTGATATATATTACTCAATAATACCAGAAATGTGATTTTTGTTGAAAATAGTTTATACAGGTTTTAGAGGTTGCTTTGATTCTTTTTAATACACTAGAATGGCATTTTTGACTGATTTTTCCATACTTCAAATGATATTCATGATCTAAAGGAATTAAAACATCTTAAAATAATAAGAAAATAATTCCCCTCTTCAAGTTCAGGACCATATAACATTGGTCTCTTTTAAATATCATAGCTAAAAATGAATGAGGCCCTCATGAATTCATTTAACAAATATTTGATGAGGGTTATTTTCTGACAGGTAATGTTCCCTGTGTGAGGGATACTAACCACACAGAGTTAGTGGTCTAAATCTGAGACACACTTTATAAACTTTAGAGTTTAAGCTAATGTGCTCTGGTGCAAATAATGGTGCTCTCCCGGAATAAATCTGCTGGCTTATTCACTAGGATCATTCATTGGCCTAATCATCTTAATCTAGAGAGAGTTCAGGCTACCTAGCTAGCTCAGGTTTGCAGGCAGGTTTTCATAACATGACCATCATCTCATCACTGAAAATTCATAAAAATTCTATCATTAGGTTTTTCTAGGTATTAATAACATTGTTGTAATAAAGAAACCCAGACCTCTCGTTTCTATGTAAACAAAAAATTGCTTTACACAAGGGGTGTGGGCGTCTTCTGGTTTTCATTTGTTTTCAGTGTGTTTATGCAGCTTAATTGTCTCATCAGGCACTTTCCCAACATAATTATGCTTTTTAACAAATGGTGTTTATGGCAACCCCTAACAGTGCAAAAGAAAGGATTAGTTTCATCCTCTCATTCCACATTTTGATTCCCTGTGGACAGCTAAATCACACAAAAATGGTGTTAGAAAAATTCTCCTTCACAGCGAAACTGAAATGAGCGGCAGTACCAGACTCAGAAAGTGACCAAAACGCAAGCCCCCAAAACACTCTGTGTTTGGTGGGACAGGGAGATCCTCGTCTTCCCAGCCCATCCCTTCAATTACCATTGGATGACCTCCAGTGATAGATGAAACACCCGGCCGCTCCTCGCCCCCGCTCCTCCCCACCCCCGGAGGACCTAGACCAGCAAGTGCAAAGTACAGCAGTTCACCTGCCCCCGGCGCAAGCACCCCACCGGCGCTGGGAGGCCGCAAGGAGGCTCGCCAGGCTGCGGCAACGCGTGCGGGGATCAGAACCCCGCTACTGGGACTCCCAGCGCAGTCCCGCCTGGGTTCCTGGGTGGTGTCCCAGGGCCACGTGGGCTGAAGGAGAAACCGAAGTGACTCCCTGCCTCCCCATAGGTCTCGCGGGACGCAGCGGCTGCGAGGGCGCAAGGTTGTTGCGCCTGGGAGTGAGGGACGGCCAGCGGCTGCGCGCCCCTGCCAGGCTCTCGAATCAGCGGCCACGCCTGCCGCTCCGCGGTTTGGAAGGGCAGCCGACTAGTGCGCGCGGATGGGCGGTGGGGCAGCGCAGCAGTCTATCCCGTGTCGCCGCGCGTGTCCCGCGCGCAGCCTCTGCCGCCGGCTCCGCCTCCCGGGCGCCCGGGGCGCGCCCCAACCAGCCGCGCACCACCCGGGCTGGCTCTGCCTCTCCCTCCCTGACCCGGCACCACGTGCCTGGCGTCCCTGAACGCTTCAGATTCTTCTCAGTGTTGCGTTTTCATCTGCTCTTCTGTGCCGCCAAACCCTCCTCAATTCTCTGGTCCATTTATGACTTTAAAAGGGCATTGGAATCTAATGATCAGGTCTTTGCCTATTGACCATGCACCAGCAGGGGGCTCTTCTCTGGTTTCCTTGGAGGGGACACAGGCACTCACAAACCCTTCTGGTAAATCCCCTCCTGGAGGATTAGTGCACCCCGTGACTGTGAACGGGACCCACCCCGGGACAAAAGCAGTCTTTGCACATACCCATTTAGTCAAAGTTACAACGAATATGAACAAGGCTTCTGCATTTCCTTTTTTTCTAGGCCAGTCAACCTTGAGAACACATTTCGCTTCCAAAAAATCAGGACCTGCTTTTTTTTTTTTTTTTTTTTCCGTGTAGCAAGGATTAAATGTCACCATTTTGATCCAATTTTGTTCCTGTAGTGAAATAATCACTAAATAACTACTTTGACGGAATAAATTAATTTTTAAATCTATTTTTTATTTTCTAATTATAATTTTTAAACACAGATTTGAGGAAATTAACATTTATGTGGACATTTGGTTTCTAGCCTAATGTGGCATAAAAATAAGTAACATAATGAGTGTTAAAAAAAATCAGGTTCACGATGCTTCTCACATCATCATCATTGTACTTAGATGTCACAACAGTATTATGTGCGATTATGTCAGATCCAGCCTTCTCCATCTCGGAGTGTTGGCAGGTAGGAGGGTTGTTGGCAAGAGGAGGGGTGTTAACCTCAGGATCCTGGATCCATTCCAAGGCTGGTAATTACATTCTGCCAGCCAAAATTCATCCCATAATTTTAATTGGATAAATCCTTTCTGGCCTAAGCTACTGCTATGCCTGTCAAACTGTTGCCACATTTCACCCCAGAGGTGTCTGTGTTTAAGTTGCAAGAATCAGTCCCTTTGAGGTTGGCTTATCTGTTTAAATCCTCAAAATGCATTGGGATCCTATGGAATTAAATATATATTTAGGTATTTTTTCTACTAAATCTGCATAGAAATGCATAAAGTAGATACATACCCATGTTATTACCTAAAGACCAATACCTTTCTGATGTCAGCATTCGTTAGATAGTTTTGAGAGCTTTTTAACCAGATCGATATTCCTTTCTTCATCTTCCCTTTTGAGAGCTTTTTTGGCCTCTAGCTATAGCTTCCGTTTTCAAAAAAAAAAAAAAAAAAAAAAGTACTGTGGTGTCCAAATGTTCCTTCTATGGTAGGGCAAAGATCGGAAGCTCCTGTATTTCACCTTTCCAAACAATTGGATGATGATACTACTTGCTAAATGAGATAGCGTAATAACATTACATCGAGTCTTATCATACCCCTCCAGAGAAAACAGAGTGAATCCTGGGGGCTTCATGGTTCTAGCTGTAGCAACTGCCAGAAGGAAAGCTTTTTCCCTGGCTCCTAATCCTCTCTCCCCTCCCCGTGAGACTGTTCTTACCGAGCTATAGGCTATAGGGGCATTAAGTAAGATGACATTTCTGAAAGCATCCCTTTCTCCATTCTACTCACTTCAAACACAAATGGAGAGAAAACAGGACCCCAGTGTTCTTTGTGGCGGGGCAGCGTCTGCTTCTGCCTGAGGACAGTAAGCTTGCATTTTTGAAAAATACAGGGAGACACATACCAACCTGTCCCATGAGAAGTTTAGCGATAAGATTGAAAGTATTATTTTGTTCTCTTCAAGAATGGAAAGTTACCATCGGTTAGTTTAGGTGTACCACATGTAATCCTGCCCGTTTTGTTACATAAAAGAGCTTTATGTCACATTTGTATGTGCATCTCAAGTCTCTCATTTTTATTTAACTTAGCATGATTTGGAGGGAGTCTTCCTACTTTTTGAATTAATGTATTATTCTGACTCCTTGATTCTTCTGCTAAATTCAACTTGTGGGCATTCATTCTTTTGCTCATTATCGTTCCTGTCCAGAAAGATACAAGCCCTGGAATAGAGATCAACTAAAACTCCCAGGGGTCAGTTCTATCTATGACAACTGCTATTCCCTAACACTCCCATTGGTTTCCTGTTAGACACAGGACACTTTTCTTTACCCTTTGTTTTCATTTTTGCAAGCAGGGGGAACTTAGTTCTTGTGAGTGACTTTCCTGACCCATCTGAGCTGAAGAGAATAAAAGGGAGAGGCTGCACTCTGCTGTGGCCTCACAGGTCTACCTGAGCCTATGGTCCAGGTTCTGGTTAAGCAGGGCCAGGACAAGGGTGAGGCCGGTGAGGCATTCACCCTGGGCACAAAATGTAAGTAGGTGCCAAAAAACTCAGGAAGGCAACATTTTTTAATAAAATTAATGCAGAAAAGAAATGTGGTTAACAAAACATCAAAATCTTAAGTAAAGACAGGATCCCCTGCACTTGCCCCTTGACTCAGGCTCACTGGCCTCACACTGATCCTGGCCCTGGGATTATTCCCTTGTACCAGCCTCTTTCTGATTGTAGGCCTGTAGAGGAAACTGCGCCACTCCATCCTGCCTGTAGCCTCTCTTCTGGCCCCCCAAATGGGCAACAAAACCAACAATGTCAAGGGTAGAAATTTCCAGGCCAGTGTAGACACATAATTCATACTCTGTTCAAGAGTTTCTAGACTTCCATAGATAGGAGACAACCAATTTATCTCAAAAGAAAGCAAGCCAGGCACAGTGGCTCA